TGGACCGGTTTGTTTTGGCAAAATTTATAAATAAGCAATTCATTTATAGAGAGAGTTAAATGTGTTTCTGTGGGAAAAAAAAAATCGTCAACTCTCATGCCTAGAATCAATAAATCTGGTAACTAAAATTTCGGATTGCATCACACGGTGAAATAGCTTACGAGATCTACGTTTCGTAGATCCGAAGAACTTGTAACTGTGATATGTATACAAAAACTTGGTCGTCGCGCAGTGCACGCAACGAAGGACAGCGACGACAGTTATGGGCGCCGCGCACACATTGTTTAACTGTATAATAACAGCTAGGTGTCAAAGCTAAGCTGGTTTTTGCTGTATCGAGAAATCTGCACGAATGACGGCGCAGATCCGAGATTGTGCCGCCACAAAAGCTAAAATGACATCAATGACGGCTAAAATTACAGGCAGTTATAGTGATTGTCATCCGTTTAGATAGGACTGTCGTGACCCAGACCTTCATGTGTCCGCGCGATTATTGTTACACAAGTCCGAGTTTCTGAACAGAGAGACGGAGAACTGACCGATCACTCATCAGTCATCGATCAGCCACATTGTTCGAACGCGAATGTGTGTGTGTGTGTGTGAATCTCAATTCTTTTTCTTTCTCTCAGTTCAAGAACTCAGACTCTTAAAATCGTGGACCTATGACCTATGACCTAAGACCCGTAATAGACTTAATCATACAATCTAAGCCACAATAAGCACTTACATATATCTAGCAGGTGACAATCATTGTGACGCAATCATTGTAAAAAAAATAAAAAAAAAAAAAATACAAAGTATTCTTCGTCAAAGATATGAAGTATAAAATATATTTTTTGTCGTACTTGCTAAAGTTGTTGAGGATAATTTTCCTTTTCTTTTTCCTCGTACGACCGAGGAAAAAAGAGATTAAATTTTTATTGCACGCGGACATCGATTGTTCGGCTTTTTTTTACTTAAAGACGTATACTAATGTCCGAATTCGTTTTTTTCGAAGACATATGAACTTCTGAGAAAGATAAATATGAACTTACAAAAATCCGTAAGGAAAAAACGTTTTTTTCTCCCTCCCAAAGAGTTAAATTGACACGTGAGATCATACTTCGGCGGAGAAAAAAACATTTGACACACACAGGTGTGAGGCAGCAGACGCTCTTCTCGATCCGCGAACGCGAACCTTTCTCGTTCGACAATAACAAATACATAATCGCCAATTGTGTTATTTCTTGTATGCTAATGAGATAGCTATCGATATCTACCCTCTGTGAACTAATAAGTAATTTGTAATAGCGTTTTCTCTACTGTAATAATCGGTTGTTATTTGCTGACGCTTTTTTTTTTCTTTAAACTCGATCAATTTTACGTATTCTTTTTACCTTCTCGTTTCTCGAATTACCGAGGATAGTTGACGTCGATAATTGCGAACGAACGTCGCGTCGCGTAGCGCGGCCGTTGTCGATTAAAAGCTTCTCGCTACGCAGAAAATCCGCTTAAGCAAAGAATCGAGAAATTTGCATGAGAGGTGTATATCGCGGGATTTCACAGTCCGGGGGCATGCGTTCTCTCGTTGCGTATGTATATATAAACCCCCAGATTATCCCCTCCAAAAAATATATCCTCGTCTCTATTATTTGTCAGCGTCGTACGTATCGACTGAAACTTCAGTCGCGCGATCCAAGCCAAGCCGTGTAATCAAAATGACATTGTGAGAGTTGAACGCTAATCATGCGTGATCACTCGTGATTATGTTGTGCCGCGTGTACTATTTGCCAAACGCGTGTGTTATATGTTTTTTTTTCTCCGCATGATCCTAGCAATTCCGCAATCAAGAAACCGACAAATCTGTCATTGCATCACGTGTGCGTATACAGCGACGCACGTAATCGATATGTCGCAATGTGCTCCCTTATATGTTTTTTGCACGTGACTATTTGCTATTAAAAAAAAATAAAAAAAAAAAAAAATTGTTTTGCACGATAAACGATAAAATAATTATCGCGTTGCTGCAGAAAGAAAAAATTGTACATTCTCTCGCAATTGAATCAAAAAGGGATCGGTACGTTTTTTTGGTTTTTTTTTTTTTTTTTAATATAAAGAACGAAGAGAAGTAATTGCTACTTTAGTTTATACGAGTTTATTGTTGCGTTTGTAAAAAATCAACAGTTTAGTTAAGTGAATATCGAGTTCTATAGCTATTAAAGTTCAGGCGATTTCTTGCTTGTGTTCTTTTCACGTACACATGTCGGAGGAATATTCCATTAGTTCGCTTTTTTGTTCATTAACTCCGCGTATATATTAGAGAAGACCAATTAGCAATAAACGTTGCACGGTATCTCTTTCATTCTTTGTTATTACCGGGCTCCGTAGCGTAGCGCGACTTCTTCAACGTTGTAGTAAATACGACGATAAATAATAACTCGTACAAACACAATAGTTGATTGGGTTATTAAATTCGATCACGTCTATATAATAATGTAACTTCATAATGAAGCATATGCAAATACATCGTAATTGGTATTGTAATTGTGCCGTAATTACACATGAACGCGAACGAAATACCATACAACTATGGTTTTTTTTATCAAATTTTTTTAAGTTTCTTGTAACTTTGTCAAATATTTATAAAGTACGTATACTGTCTCAACAACCGGATATGTGTCAATGATTAGATATTTGATTAAAGAAACAATTATTAAATATATAAAGTTTTAACTTTTATATATATAGAGTAATTATTATGTGATTATTTAATTATTTTTGAATTATTATCTAACTTTTTACATAAAAACGTTTATTATAACATATAATTATTATTATTAGTAAATGTTTTGTATAGTTAGATGATATATAATTATTTCATCTGTGTTAATTATATAATATTATATTACAATAATAATAATTATCATATACATAATTACTATGTGATTTTCTTTGTTATAATTATTTCTTTAACAAATGTCTGATTATTGGTTATCTTAAAATGCACTTGAAAGGTGTAATTTAAAAACTGCGATCGATTAGTCAAAAGTTTTAATACGTTTTCTTTGTTTTCTCTTTTTCTCTTTCAAATATTTACATTTTCGTCCGGACAAAACTGTCAGATATTGTGCGAAAAAGCGAAAACTTGTTGTCAATCCTCTTGCCGAGTATTGACAATAAATTGCTATCGAGGTGCAAAACCGTTCATCAAACGACCGGGACATATGTACCCCATGTATTCGTGTAAATAATCGACGACGAATATCCCAGATGTCGGTTCTGACGTAAGTCGATCCGCGAAACACACACGCGCGAATAATGAATTCGAGCAATGTTACTTAGATTTATTTCTCGCGTCAAATGCACGTTTTCAGCGACAATGACAAACGATCGATAAATCTCGAAGTGATTTATTTTTACAGGAAATCCGCTTTTCTCCCCAAATATCGTACACACACACACACCTAACGTTAGTCGCTCTTATGGAATATCTGTTGTCGTGAAACTATTTTTTAATTGTTACGGAAATTTTTTCTTACATTTTGTCTTATATTCATTTTGTAAACGCGAGATGTAATCCCGCGCGCTCTCTTGCGAACGTTAGATTGTAAAAAGTGTTGTCGTAACTTTTCTTCGCGCGTTGTTTTGCAAGAAGTCTCGAACGTAACACAACAAAAGTCCACCTGCTGCATAACTGTTTTGAGATGTGCAAAGGCGATTATCCACGCTAGATGCACATGCGTCTCAATTATGCGAAATGTTCGTAAACAACGTAGCATCGCGATAATATAAGCTATTTAGCCAATAATAATAGACTGTTTTGGGACCAGAAAAACACATCGGAGTATACGTAGGAAACAAAAGTGGTGCACACACACACACGTGGGCGCGCGCCCGGAAATATTTTCTTCTTGTTTTTTTTCGCAATGTTACGCAACAAATGGTATACGTGCTTCAGCAACGCGCGAAAAAAAAAATAAGTTGTTTTTAATTGAGAGATAATTAAGTTTAATTGAGAGGTTTGTGTCTTGTTTACCGTTTGTCTTCAGCTGATCTGGAAAACTTTTTGAGGCATTACCTCACTATTTCGATGTTACGCTAATTAATTCTTTTAAGCGGTTAGATAATTAAAGAAATTGCTATCACAACGTTGTGACATGTAATTATTGTTGTATTTTTACAATCGTATGTACACATATATATATATATATATATATATATATATCTTTTTCTGATTATTGCTCATAATAAATAAAACCTTCGATTGTGCGCGAACATCGTTATCCACTTTTTATTAAACGGACTTTTTGTTTACCAGAGATTAAGAAATCTCTCACAGCAGTGCGACCGCAAGATTTCCGGTGAAAACCGTCATTTCCTGTGAGATAAATTGACCGGACGAACGCGTACTCACACATCGCTCGTAAGCAATCTTAAAACGAGCGTGGTACACAACAACAACAACCTTGTACTAAAAATCTACCAAAGCATAAGCTTTTATATATGTATATATTTTTTGTTTTTATTTAAATTCTCTCTCTCTTTCTCTCTTTTCCTCTTATTACTGCTAATTTTTTACACAAGTTTTTACACATTTCTTGAAAACAGTTTTCATATTCCTAACGACGATTATATTTTGCAACAATTGTGATTGTTGAAGGTTACGCGCCGGAAGAAACTGATTTACTCAATACCAATCGCCGCCGAGTAACGTTCCAATGATAATTTGTAATTATAAGTTTTCCCACAATTATACGGAAGAGTTCAATCGGAGCGCCTTTAATATTATCTTGTTTATATACGAATACGGCAGAAAAATGTGCAACTAATTCGCTCAGTTACACATGCACGCGATATTCGCGTATATATATATACATTTTTCTTAATAACTCGTTTATTGCCAATTACGTCAGATTTTTTCCTCGGCTACGATAGTTGAGCGATCGATCTTGTTTTATGTTAAAAATCAACCTCGTATTAATCGATCCGATCGTTTTTTTTTTTTTTTTTTTTTGTTACAGAGATACATCACGAACTCCGCCGGCGGGCAAGAAAAAGGAACTTGACAGTGGAACGCACTCGCGGAAGAAGAAATGACACACGGAGTCACGCGGGTGTACGAAGCCGCGACCTTTCCGCGCGAGCAATGATAGAGAAGAGAAACGGCCTTGGTGGTGGCAAAAGACACTAGTACCTGAACGATCGGTATTCACGTGACTGGCAGCTAAGCGACGAGAGATTACTAATTTATTCGAATTATTCGACTTTCGAGAAACGATTCTTTTTCTACATAGTTTCTGTTTTACGTGGCAGAGATCGATTCGTGTTTTTTGTTTTCGAGAAACTATAAAAAGACTTGGCGCAGCGTTGATAAAATGAGACACGTGAGCGCGATTCGATATCCGATATTCGAATAGTGTTTCCGATTGAGAGAGAGAAAGAGAGAGAGAAAAAGAGAGAGAGAGGGAGGAGAGGGCATCAACTTTGCCACGAACTCGATGCGAAACATTGACGAGGAACTGTCTGTGCGTGCGAGGATGAAGACGATGGGCGACGTCGTCGCGGATTCTGTCGACGAGAGCGACGGCACGGTGCAACCGCCCGGTGCGAGCAAGGAATTCGGCCACAGAACGCTTAGATCCTTGAAGAGAGGATTGGGTCGGCTGTGGAGACGACACCGGGGCAACGTGTCGATAACCGAATACGATCCGTCTTACAAGGTCGCGTACCTCGGCAACGTACTCACCGGATGGGCCAAGGGTGAGTACAAAATGTTCGTTTACGTATAAAAAAACTGAATCACACGTGAAACGGAAGAAATCGTAAGAGGAGAAACGTTATGCTCTTGTACTATCTCAACGTTGCCAAGTTTGTTTCTTTGTACTCGATTTTATTGCATTATCTTCAACCGGAAAAAATACGATAAATCGAGTATATCTATCTATTATCTTGTGTCAACAAGCGAACTATGCTAAGAATTCCTTGTTTTGATTTTGATATCTAAATATGTTTTCGTCGATTTTGATATCTAAATATATTTTTTCAAATTTTTTCGTTTCTCAAAGAGCATCGTCGATTCCGTATTTAAAATTAAAAGATTCGATTTTGACAAATTAAAATAAACACATAAAAAACCAACCGACATAGTCTAACACAAGATAATCAGCCATAATAGTATCAGCCTATTATAATAGATAGTTTTATAGAAACTATAGATCTATCTATTAATGAAAATTAATAAAATTTGTCTATTAATTCGCCGATGTAACAACAAGCTTTTAATTTCGAGTTTGTTAAAACATTCGAAATTGCCAAAGTTAATTTTGGCTTGTATGCGTCACTGGCAATTATGTCTTCTTGGATAAGCGGCAATTAGGAACGATATACGTTGCTTACATCGCGCGCACATATTCTTGATCGTGCCAACCTTGGCGCATAAATGATCAACCGGAAGTGCGCGATATTTCTTGCGACCGGTACATCGCAGCGCAAGGTTACGTATCAGTTCCGTATTGATCCTGAACGATCACTCTTTTTTCTTTTTTTTTGCCGCAACGGGCCATCCGTTGTTTTGCACGATCCTTTTGTCATAAGTTAACAGACTTATCTTCGAGACGATACGAGTCGAAAACTGCAAAACATCTTAATGGATATTAAATTTCATATAATTTTTTGCGCGCGTTGACGTTCACGTTGATTTTTAAAGGCATTGGATTTCTCAATTTTTTGTGTAACTTCTTCAGAGAATCGTCTCATTGAGAAATAAACGTTTTTTTTAACAAATAAGATAGATAAAAGGTCAAAATCGAGCAAATATAAAGTTTGTGAATATATATTAAAACACACAAAAAGACCAGCAAGCCGCTGCAATCCACGGGTGTAGGTGGCATGTAATAAATAAACCAATGTAAATCGTGTCTACTTAGACATACGGAACGTTTCGATCCAATATATTTGTGATCATCTTCAGCCAAACTACAAAAACAGAAATCAGTTATAAGAGTTAAATTGATTTGAAGTTAAAATCGAGATAAAGATACCGTATTAAATATATATTAAGCAAAATATCAATTTACATAGAAAAACGAAACGTTTTGTCTGTAACTTGAGACTTCTTCGGTCGTAATACATCATAAACGCAAAAAAACATAAAGAAAAAATTAATAAGTTACGCAAAACATTTTAAAATAAATAAATCGGCAATCATATCGATGGTGTTAACAGTGACAGTATATGTTCTTTTTATGTATATGTCCTCTTTTTCGCATGTGTGTGTTAAATTAATAAAAAATAAAAAATAAAAGTCATACACATTGCCATAAAGTTGTTATGAGAGATAAAAAGATGTTTTTTTTTTTTAAGTTGCAAATTAAGAGAGACGGTGAATTACAATAAGCAGTGCTTATTAAAGTCAAATGTCGCTTAATCAAGTCCAGGAAAAAACCTAGAAAAACAAATCCACAAAAAAAAATTAATTATTCATATTACATTAATCTAATATCTGAATGTTACGTATGTGTATAAAAATAGCGTTTTTACGCGACGGCCTTGTGCAAAATACCGGCTAGAGATTAGAATTGATTAAAAATAAACTTGCGCGAGGAAGCGATTATTTATTAATTTTTCTATCACATTTCTGGTTTTTGTTTTTTGGTTTTATCTTGTTATGCGTTAAAATGATACTTTACGGCCGGTCGTTTCCGAAACACGAACAACGGGGAGGGGGAGAAAGTTCGAAACGTAATCGATCGCGCAAAAAATACAATCGCAAGCCGCACAAGCGGAAACGCGCCGAAGTTCCGGTCGGACACTCTGGTGATCTAGTCTCATCGTGGCGCAACGTTAAAAAGGAGAAGGATTTACCGTGGTGCAACGACCGGATTCCATAGGCGTCAACCTGACTGCTGCACCAATCTCGAAGTTTCTCTCTGCGTTGTACTTACATCAAGAGTCCGACTTTTAAATATCGTCGTGCGTCATTATTACGGTACAACGTATTCGCGCGCCTATTCGGCAAGTAATTAATTCGTCTCAAGGGTAATCGGTATGCAAAATGTTGTCGTCGCGCATGTCGTGCGCTGGCTGGATGTATCCATAGCGCGTGCACGGATGTGTATGCAAAATATATTATACGCGTACATCAGACTCCAAATTAGCGGTTATACATTTAAGTCGAGACCTGAATCAGCCGGGTCTTTGTGAAAGGAGTTCGCCGAATTGAGAGATTATGAAAAAATATTCAACGGATTTTGTGCACGCACAACTTTTGTCTCTTATAAGTCTCGGTCTTACAATGCAGATAGAGAGAATCCGCGATGTAACTTTTTGCGTCTCGTCGTTAAAAAATTACAAAAAAGTTACATTTAATCAAGTCTAAGGTTGCAAATCGATTTTTTTTCTTCGTTTTTTAACGCAATCATCCGGTTACAATAATTGTTGGCATATAATTGTTTTTTTTACAAAGTCTTATGTGTGCAAGTTTTTTATTGCACGTATTATAATGAATGCTAATTAACTCATTGTAATATGATATTTTATCCTCATCTTCTGGGTAGATAAGTAAGTTTTAATTTGTTGTCGACGCATATATCTGAACGTGTGGATTTGTTTATACGAAGAATTTTCTTCTCTCACGCACGAGAAGAGATTCGGCAAATCCAATTCAAAGATGGCAAGTATATTTAGCGCAAAATAGTAGTGTGAGCTAGTACCAAGCGTGAACTATAAATAGCCGCAGCTCTTTTACAACTCTCTCTTATCAGCTATGTTCGTTTTCTTTGTATCTCTGATCAGCCGCTGCCGTCTAAGGGGTCTAAGAGCAAACACGAAACAATTTTCAGTCAACGCACAATTCGCTTTATACAAATATGTGTACAATCTGACGCTTTTGATACAAATATATATATATGTACCTCAAATAAAAAATCATTAATTAATTTATAATTGGAACGTGATTAGTGTAGAGTCGCCGATAGATCATTAAAAAGACATCTTTCTATTCCTCGAAAACCAAACATTTCGCGAAAGGATAAACCGGACGATGTGGAAAAAAAAATATATATATGTACCTCAAATAAAAAATTATTAATTTATTTATAATTGGTACGTGATTAGTGTAGAGTCGCCGATAGATCATTAAAAAGACATTCTTCTATTCCTCGAAAACCAAACATTTCACGAAAAGATAAACCGGACGATGTGGAAAAAAATATATATATATGTACCTCAAGTAAAAAATTATTAATTTATAATTAGAACGTGATTAGTGCAGAATCGCCGATAGATCCATTAAAAAGACATCCTTCTATTCCTCGAAAACCAACATTTCACGAAAAGATAAACCGGACGATGTGAAAAAAAAAAATAACAGTGTGTTACAGACTGTAACAATGTAATAAATATAAATAAATTAATAATAATAAATATGCAAATTCCATCATTTACTTGCATTAATTCGAAGAACCAGAATCCCGTGACACTTCGGACGTCCTACATACGCGCGCGCGCACATTGCTCGCGAGCCTCTCTTCGGAGATTTATAACGGTCTCATTCCGTCGAAACTTGTTTACTATAAAAATAAAGACGTGTGTGTTTGTACACGTGCGATAAGAGATAATTATATTCGTTATTGGATATGAGAAATATATTCGTTCGTTCGTTAAATTTTGTAGCCGTTTCCGGTCCTTTTCTTGAGAACTTGTTTCACGTCGTCCTTCGTCTTCCAGAAGAATATCCGCGGTCACGCAAGTTTATTGTCTCTCCTCCATCTCTCTTCCACAGTTTTAGTTTGTATAGAACCAAGGAAAGCTTATATGTTCGAAGAAAAAAAAGAAGAAGCCGCTTTAAGGCTTCGTTAAGTTGGTCCTTCCTTCCCGCCGTAGCGAAAATTAATCCGCTCTTACTTTTAAAAATTGAGCGCTAATTAGGTGTCCAATTTTTCAAAAACTTGCTCGACTCGTTTGTCAGAAAATTAAAATGGGAGGAGGAAGCGCTGACTTCTCGTCTCAACCTGTACCCAACATTGAAACGATGTACTTTCGTCAAAAAAAAAAAAATAGATGCCACTTCGGTGCTTCCATCCTATTTCAGAAAACTTAGCGCGGGATATAGCGACTTTGGGCCTTGAGAATGACACGTCGATTTCCGTATAAATCGTTCGAGCATCAAAACATTTAGATGTGAATAAACAAGTAAATTTAGCATTTTGTTCTCTCGGCAATCTAATTTTAATTTTATTTTAATTTCCTGCCGAAGCAGGAAATTCCCGAGTCGAGCATCAAGTTTTCGGGCATCTAGTTAGCACTTGTATTTAGATAAAAGCGAATTTATCTTATTTATAGTGAGAGAGCCACGGACACACAGTCACTTCTTCTCACTTTTTAGCACAGGACGCGCGTTTATTTATTAAAAAGATTACATTTATTAAACAGATTACAATGTCAACAACGTAATAATACTCATTATTTTATTTTTAATCGCGCATTCGCGCCATACACACCTGCCGGAGAAACATATATAATGACATATCTTGAGTGTGCGAAGGTGTGGAGCGGCTCATAAGTGATAAGGTAAATTGCAAACATTAAGAGAAATAAGTATAATGTATGCGCGAGAAAAATAATTGTTCGAATTCTTGAAAATAACGACAAAAAGTAATACTAATCGACTATCAATGTTCGTACTATCGTATGGAATCGGAGAGTAATAATATTAATGCAAAATATATGTTTCGCGGACAAAAACGCGCAAGATTCTAGAA